CACAAAATCCCAATATCATCGTCCAAATGAGGAAAAATTCAATAAATCACAAATAATTCAATCTTTTAACTACAAACATGTAAATATATCGTAAAAGAAAAAAAAAAGTACGAAAAAACAAATGATTCACAACATAATATGTTATAACAAAATCAAATCAAAACCGTTATTCAACTATGACAATACTTTAAAAATATCACAATCAAATCGATGTCGGTGCAAACCCCATCTATTGGGTCACCTAAAATCCTCAAAATTGACTACTAGAAGTTCCATAAACACACACAAACTATTCCCTTTGTTTTGGGAAGAAATCGAAAAAATCGAAAATTTATCAATCTTTCGATAAATCTCAAAAGAAAAGTTTTTGGGGAGTTTTTCTCTCTATAAAAGGCACGGTTTTGGTTTTGGGGGTTTAGAATATCCCTCAAAACCCTTTTCCCCCCTTTGAAGGGAAGAAAAGTGACAAATTTTAACCCTTGCCAGGGGTTTGTTTCCGCCATTTGACAAATTGTCATGAGGAAGCACCTCAAGACTATAGCGCATTGCCCGCCTAGGAGGCACCTAGACGCAGGACGCCAATAGTCCCGCCTATCTAGCACCTAGGCATTTTTTAAAATTTTCCGCCTACGAGGTTGGGAGGGGCGAATTTTTGAACATTGGGCTAATGTTTCTCCGTTGGCCTCATTTTGTAAAGGACAAAGTTTGTAACACCTGAAGTTAAGCTTCTAGGCATCATTTAGATCGTTTAAAGAAGTGTTAAAAAACTAGATGAGTCCGACTTGGACTCACCCTAGTGCAGGATCTGCAGGCTGTATGGTCCGACACCAAAACCATGGGAACCAATCAACCCTTAATGATTCCATGATTTTAATGTTAATTTTTTTAGGACTAGGGCAAGTCGACTGCCTGACTCTAGTGAGTCCCAAACAGAGTTCTTGCTTTAGAACACTGGTTTAAAAAGCATACTCTCAAAACTAAAATTAAAGCCTATGTCAACAATGAAGGTTTCGCTTTTGTGCTTATTACTTTTATGAAGTGAACACATGACATAAACCTTTAACAAACTGAGCAATCATTTTTGTTTTTTCTAAAAAGAAGGGGTGAACCCAATGATTCAAAAAGCGGACCGCCCAGCGCCTAGGCGGTTCGAAAGGTCTGGGCGCATCGCCCAGGCTTAGGCTGCCAATCTAGGCGGTCAATCCCTGGGCGGCCACCTAGCGCCCAGCCCTAGGCGACCACCCAGGGGAGGAAAACAAATTTGTGAGGGCATTTTACGTCATTTTTTTTTGTTTTTAAGACCCAAAAAGTAGGGTTTTAGGTTCATTTGAAACCTAAACCTTGTTTGAGCCAAATTTAGAGAGAGAAAACCTCCAAAAAACTAGATTCTGATGAATTTTTTAAGATCGAAGGGTTACTTAAAATTAACCAAAATTGATCAAAACATCACCCATTGGTATTATATTTACTTTTTGATGTTTTGCAAAGTTATTAGGGGGCGTTTTAGAAGATTTTGAGTATTTAGAAACATCTTTGAGGTGGAAGTTTGAAGATTGAACAATCAAACTCAAAGTAAGTGATTTTTTTTATTGCTTTGGTAATTTGCATTATTTTGTAGATGCTTTCTTTGGGATCTAATAGGAGTGGTGATTCCGGTTGGAAATATGGCTACAACCCAGATCCTAATAATAAAAACTGCATAAGATGCAATTTTTTTGAAAAAGATACAAAATGGGGCATAAATTGGTTCAAAAAACATCTTGCCGGTATCAAGGGGGATGTTGCCCCATATAAAAAGACTCTTGATGCTGTTAAAGAGGAAATAAAAAATTTTATGAAAATGAAAAAAGATGAGAGATTTGCCTCTATAGCAGATATTAGGTATGGGGTTCGAGTCAATTTTAATGATGATGATAGTGATGTGGAAAGGATTGGGAAGGGATGTCAAGAGGTTGAGCAATCCATTATTGGGGGAAAGGGGAAGGGAGTTGCAATTGCTTCTGCTTCTAGTTCTGGTTTTGGGAGTAAGAAGCATCGGGTTAAAGGCCCTATGGATAGTTTCTTACCTCAACCTGACCCTGAGATTGCAGGAGAGAAAACAAAAAAGCAAACCACCATTGAAAATAGAATCAAGAAGGAAGAGAGAGATAGAGCTGCGTATTATTTGACTACATGGTTTAATGAGGCGGGCATTCCTTTGAATACGGCTCGCTTGAGCAGCTTTTATACTACTGTAGAGGCAATTGGCCAATTTGGCCCTGGGATGAAACCCCCAACCCCATATAAGCTTTCAGAGCCTTTTTTAAATAAGGCAGTTAGTGCCACGGAGGAAGCTGTAGAACTTAAGAAAGATGCATGGGCTCAATATGGGGTTTCCCTTATGACTAATGCTTGGAGTGCTAGGAAGAGAAGAAGTAAAATGAATTTTCTTGTGAATTGTCTAGTAGGGACTTTTTTTTTAGGCCTATTAATGCCTTTGATCATATCCATGATGCACATTACATATTTCAAGTGATAGAGAAGGGAATCAAGGAGGTTGGGAAGCATCTTGTGTACAGGTTGTCACAGACAATGATGTTCCTAATGTTGCTGCATCTAATATGTTGCGCATAGCTTATCTTAGAATCTTTTGGACACCATGTGCAGCACATTGTATAGACCTCATGCTTGAGGCTCTTGACGGTTCAACCGAGATATCGGTGCAGTGAAGAAGGCCAAGTATGTTACAAATTTCATTTACACCCACCATATCACCCTCAAGATGATGCGTACCTTTACAAAGAAGAAAGAGATTGTGAGGCCTGAGGTCACGAGATTTGCGACCTGGTACTATGCCTAGATAGCATACATTCGAGGAGAGTGCAGTTGAGGCAAATGTTTACCTCGGATGAGTGGAAAGCATGCAAGTGGTCTAAGGCTCAGGTTGGGAAAAAGGTGAGAGATATTATACTTTCTAAGGCTTTTTGGTGAAGGGCGAAAGGTGCTCTTAAGGTATTTTTTCCTATTATCAAAGTCCTTCGCATAGTTGATAATGACAAGCCTTCTATGGGCTACATATATGATGCTATGGAGAATGCAAAAGAGAGATAGCCCAAAATTTCAAAGATGAAGAAACCCACTACAAACCTGTTTGGGAGATTATTAATGAGAAGTGGGATCGACAGCTACATCGCCCATTGCATGCAGCTGGTTATTATTTGAACCCAGCTTTTTTTTATATTGACAATGATATACAAACCAATGACACAATTATGAATGGATTTAATGAGTGTATAGAGGTGTTAGTCTCTGATCCTGATATGCAGGATATTATATGCACTGATAAGCTAATAAATTACAAGTGCGCATTAAAGTCTTTTGGGAGTCCAATGGCAATGAGGCAAAGGACCAAAATTAATCAAGGTATTAAATATTATTATATTAATAATATTCTTAAGTTCATCTTCATCAAGTTCAACTGTTCAAGTAATCAAGCATTTCTATTATTTATTTATGATTTTTTTTATTTCTTTGCAGCCCAATTTACAAAAGTTGGCCATTCGGATCTTAAACCTAACCACTTCTTCATCCGGCTGTGAGTGCAATTGGAGTACTTTTGAAGGGGTAAGGCCATAAGGGTAATTTGTATAATTTTATAAATACTACATGAACCATAGATATTAGATTTTAATTAGTTCACTTTCATTTCATTTTTTTAGGTTCATACAAAGAAAAAGAACAGGCTTGACTACAATTGATTCTTGAAAGACAGATTTGCTAAGAGAGATAATAGAGACCCCATCAGATCAAAAAATATGGACAATGCTATGGAGTGGTTAGTTGATGATGATGAGGTCGAGGGGCATGAAAGATTGACATGGGACATGGTCATGGATGCTTCAGAGACATCAGCTGACCCTCCTAAGGCCACTAGAGCTTCTGCACAGAGAACAAGGGTGGAGGAAGAAGAGGCAGATTCACAAGAAACAGAGGAAGACGAGTCGCAATATGTCAAGGAGAGTGACGACTCCGTCGACTCCGATGAATATGATGCCAATGCAGCTGACCCAAGATTTTCTGATGATGAATGAATGTTGATTGTTGAGTAATTATTAAACTTTGTTACTTAGAAGTTTGAACATTGATTGAAGTAATGTCTATTGAACATTTGAACTATTGAAGATTCTTTTGAGTCTTCAAGTATTACTTTCATAGTTTTATAATTTGGTTGGTTGGAATATTATAAGTTTTAATTGGATATGGATTATGGAGTATAAACCGACTTATGCATTACGGTTATGCTTATAGAATGTGTGTTAAATGCTAATATGTAGTATAATTTGAATATAACTGATAGTCTGATACTCAAATAACTGTAGAATCCTTATTTGAATTCAACTGGGCCTCCCAGTTTTTGGGCGCCTGCCTGGGGGGCCTGGACCCCCCAATCTGCCTAGGACCCGCCTAGCGCTTTTTGAAACACTGGGTAAATCCATTTGGTTCAGATTGTCGCTTAAGGAAATTTTCTCTTTCAAATCTAACAAACCAGGATTTCAACTTAGATTTCAATTGTGAGATATGTTGAGCAAGCAAAACAAAGATGTAATTTATACTAATAGAGCGAAATATTTTAAAACCATTATTGGTTCTCATTTATGGAGAAAAAATTTGAAACCACTTCTCTTGATGAATTCAATCTGAAATGGAAAATGGACCAGATAATCAAAACCCTACGAGATAAACTGGAACATTCACCTCAAACCAAAGCTCTTTAAACAATGAAGAAAACAATCTCACTAAATTTCAATCAAAAACAGCGTACAGTGCAACTTTTTTATTGATTAAAACTAGGGCAACTTCAAAATGTACTAATTCTAGGGAAACAAATAGCTGAAAACAACAGAGAGAAAACAGAAAACCCAAATCCACAGAGAGAAAAGGAATCCAAAACTAGAAGAGCTCGTATCTCCAAAGCTTTAGACTGGAGGTCATTTAAGAAAAGGTTAGAGAGAGAAAGTAACCTTTAATAGTTGCAGAGTTCTTTAGCTCTATTAGTTTACGGAGTTTAAAGGGCAGTGCTTCCAAGTCATTTGGTTTAGGGGCGGGCGGGAGCCGCGTGTGAAGCAGGCCATGTGCTGCTTTGAAGTTTTTCTCTCTCCTCCTCCTCCCTTTTCCTCCCATCCTCTCTCAAATACACTCTCTCTTTAGGATCCAAGGAAGCAACACCAATACGCAGCTCCCTCTCTCCAGCACCAATGTGCAGTTCTCCGTCTCTCTCTAGCAGCACCAATGTGTAGTCCTCTCTCTCTCTCGCTAATCAAAGGAGCAGCGGCGATGCTCAGGAATTCGAATGATTCACGAAGTGTCTTTCAGTTTGTATCTCGATATCCAGACCGTTCATTTTGTATTGCGATGACGTATGTGGTAATCAGATTCATCAGATATAATTTGACGGTGATGGACAGACTTGCGAGAACATAGATAAATAATAAGACTTTGTTGGTGGGTTACACCCCCTATCAACATTCAATCTGTTTATTGAACGGTGATGAATATGGGAAAAAAAAAATATTTTTGTCGAGATGCACTCAAATTTTTTGGAAAAGGGTGTGGTTTCTATAAGATTGCAACCTTAAACAATCCAATTACGATGCACCTCCAAATTTTTTCGTATCATATATTTTTGATATAGAAAATTCTTAGGATTATCTAAAAATTTATTTTTATATCTAAATATAAAATTTTAAACTCCAAAAATAGTTAAAATCAAACAAATCTATAAACATGTAAAAATCTTCTTGAAAATTGACGATTTTGATAATGTGTTGCAAGATACATCATTTTTAAGATGCAAAATCTTTTATTTTTTTATATTCATACATGTCGATGTCGAGATGATCAATTAGAGGGTTTTTCAACATTAAAACAACTTTTTCTGATGGATTCTTGAGGTGCATCTCTATTTCTATATTTTTAATGTTACAACCTTATATAAAAATTTTTTCAATTTCAAATCAAATGGTTGTAAGTGTACCCGTGACTACTCAAAACCCAACAAAAACTTTCTTGAACTTCTTGAAATACCTCATGCCATCCAAATGGACATCTAATGGCTAAACTTAATTGTGACCTCCTTATACTAAAGATAAATAGTCTCTTAATATACAATCCCATTTTTTTAAGATCCCATTTTTTTGGCTTAAAAGAACCCCAGAGAAAAGGGTTTACGTAATTTTAGTTATATTTTTTTTTGGGTATTTCAGTACGGAAAATAACAATTGGGGTGTACCATTTATTTACAAGAAGCAATTTCTCAGATTTGAGTTAGGTTTTGATAGTACACCACTAGAGATGATTTTGCTATAAGTGATTGTGATCCACCAACATATAGAGAGCCTTTTCATTGGTTGTGGACGTGTTAACCTTGATGTAACATTATTATAAGAACTGATCTTTAAATCAATGAAAAACTAAACTCCTAACAAATAAAATATGTTAAAAAAATATTTATAAATTAAGATACAAGAAAGACAATCATCCATATCGTCCCCTATGAAGTCTTACAGCTTAAGTGTATCAAAAAATTCAAGCACTTTCCCTTTTACAGACTTTGAATAGAGCACCTACAAACCACACAATTTCACACTCAATTCCTTAGGTGAAATTGACAGTTACTGTATACTTCCAACAAATATTTATGGGTTCACATGGATACAGTGAACATGACAGTAACTTTGTACTTCCAACAAATATTCATGGATTGATACAGCTTCCAATCAAAATCCTTTATCCACAAACTTCTCTCTCCTCTCCTCTCTCTCTCTCCATATGGCTATTTTCTTACTATTCAATAGTGTTTTTACGTCTCTAGTCTCTAATAATACTTTTTTTTTTGGGGGGCAAACTGTACAAAAAAAGGGTAAAAGAAAAGCAACGTCGATAGCACAATTATTTGTTTTACAGTCCATCCCCACCATTCAAACTCAATGATGGACAGCTAACAAGGCCTTATGCTGCATGTATGGTCTGCTTTCTGTAATTTTTCCACCATCAAATAGCAGATGTTGAACTTTCATCATGCTCACCAAGCACAGTTGAAACGAGAATTATGAAAGGGCGACAAAAATGCACATGGAGTTACTTAGAATGAAGCATGAATGGTGAAAGGGTGACAAAAAAGCACACGGAGTTACTTAGAATGAAGCATGAATGGTGAAAGGGCGACGAAAAAGCAGATCAAGTTAAGAATGAAGCGGGATCATTCTTTCAACTCAGCCTAATCAGACTGATATCATACAATAAAGGAATTTTGGGCTGACAAAGAAATGGAAAAATCAAAATTCTGCACAACTGCATGCAAACCAAGGAAAGGGCCAATGCCCTATGATACATAGCGTATGTACAAGATACAATCAAAAAATTTCCTCAATCAGGTGTTGTAGAATTATGAATATCAGCCCGGATGCTTGCCTCTACTGTTTCTCTTGTTCCAACAAAATTCAAGAGCTTCCCTTTATTTAATCAGAGGACTAAGCCCATCACCTTCCCAGCCAAGACGAAGCATTAGATCAACCACCTTCAAACTCAACTATGGAAACAAAAAGAACCACGTCGAGAACAAAGCTATCAAAAGGAAGACACATACAGCACAAATGAAATTCCTAAATCTCTCTCTCTCTTACCTCTTACCT